TCATTCAATGTCGAATGGCGTGATCGAGTAAGCTATTTTCTCATCAATCTCTCCATAATAATCCAATATTGACCAAACCTTACGCACAATGTAAAAGAAAAAGAAAAGAAAGGGAAAAGGTAGATAAAAAAAAACGAAATCCGTTGTTTTCTTTTTTTAAAATATACACTGAACATTTGAAAAGATAAGCTTTAAGGCCCCGACCCTGGAATTCCAGTCCTCCAGTCCTTTTTGACCCAATTTTGTCATAGACTCAATCAATTTCCCGATCCCCAAAAACTCCAGGCACAAATTTACAGCTAAATATCATTTAAGGCCAGCTACAAAAGAAATTATATCGCTTTTCCAGACACTTACTCATTCAATGGGGTGATTGCATTGAGATCTGATCTCTGCATTCCTTTAGAGAATGGACCTTGGACCCTTCTCTTTCTTACTCCCTTTTCTCACTTTAAAGCCCAATCGGAAACAATTAGTAATCATCATTGTTCTTTTTGATCAAAAAAGCTTTTTTTCAAGGCTTTCCTTTCTCTCTTTTGACCTTTCACCTAACAAAATAGACTCTTCTTTCGGTGCAATCTTTTCCTTTCAATTGAGTGATCCTATCCTTTTTTATGTGCAAAGAGAAAAGAATGAAAAATCGGAGACAGATGTTGCAGTGGCTTAAATTTGAAGATTTCAAAGTTTTCGATTCATTTGAAGGATCAAAATAGAATTGTATTCTTAAAGATTGATTTAAAGAAATATTGACTTGCAATTGAGCTGGATATCTAGCTAGATATTTCACAGAATCTTCCTGTGAAATCAGGGCTTGGCCTGACTTTTCAAATTTTATTGGCCCATAATTGAAACAGGAAGATACCTAAAGATCTAGATTCTTGATTGTTTTCCTAACTTTACACAATTCTCTAGACTTTGTGGTTTGAAAAAAGGAAGCTATTCTCTGCTAAAGAGTGCCCCTGAAAGAGTTCACGGGTTGCAAAGAGCGGATGGGGAAAAAAAGGGGGAAGAGCAACGCCCTAGATCGGTCTCTTCTCTTTTCTTCTCTTCTTTCATTCATCGACTCTCTTCGCAAAGTTTCCCCCATTGAAATATACGAGTTTTTCTTAACTTACAAAGTTCTTTAAGTAAATCAATCAACTATTATCATCTCATTCGCAAATTTAACTTGAATTGAAACTTGAACTTGAACCAGTTCCAAACTTTGTCAAAGAATGGTTTTAAAAACGGTTATATGGTCTTTAAAAGCTTGAAAAATCTTTATTAAGAGCTTAAAAATTGAACTTTTTCATCTAAATTTTACTAGATTGACAAAATTTCGCTTTTGCAAGCTCTTGCAACTCATTCTTCTCTATCATTTTTCAATTTTTGATGGTTTAACAAACCAAAAACTCTGGCGTAATCAAATCTGTAAAGCTTTTAAAAGCTTTTCCTATAATATTTCTATCAAACATTCGCTTACTCACTCCTCCCCGCAATCCCCTTAACCAAACTTTTCCCTCAAATCGAACCGTTCCCCTTTTGATCACCTTACCTCCCCCCTTCTCTCTTCTTTCCCTTCCCCTTCTTTCCCTTCTCTCTTCTTTCCCTTCTCTCCCTTCTCTCTTCTTCCCCTTCCTCCTTCTTTCCCTTCTCTCTTCTTCCCCTTCTTTCCCTTCTCTCTTCTTTCCCTTCTTCCCCTTCTCTCTTCTTCCCCTTCCCCCTTCTTTCCTTCCTCTCTTCCCCAAACACAACCCGTTTTGTTTTGATTGAAAAAACCCAATCTTTTTCCTTTACAATAAACACAAACGTTTTCCTCCATTCTCTCCAATCATTTATCAATTTCTCTCTAAATTTTGCGCCTTTTAGAACATCTCATTTTCACACCACACTGTGACCGTTATTGAAACACCGTTCTTTCGCTGTAACGTTTGTTTTACATTTCAAAATAAAATTAATGAAAAGAACAAGCATTACAAACGAAAAAAAACTTTTATAAAGAAAATTATTGACTTAATCGAAATCAAACCAAATTTTTTGGATCTACAGCGTTTTTTACAAATTAACTAGTTTATTTCATACTTTTTTTAATGTTTTCATCATTTTCATCGATTAAAAGTTACATAAATCTGTTTGAATTGATTGTAAAATCATTATAATCACTGTAAAATTTACAATGTAATCTAAAAAAACGCATTTTCAAGGACTCCATGAAGTCAGATAATTGTCATATAATTGTAACCCATATAAATCTGCTTATGGAATGTTAATTGAACAATTAATTGTAAAGTTGATCAAAATTGTTATTCTTTTGCTAGAATTTCTATAACTTTTATCTAAAAAAAAACCAAAATTTGTCTACTTTGCCCTCAATTTTTTCTCTCTTACAATTCCCAAAAAAATTTTTTTCTCTTCTCACTTTTTGCAACCGAAATTTCGCAACTAGCAACCCATTTTTGCATCATTTGCATCACTTTTCAGCAAACTTTCAAAAGATTAACTAAATATTGTTTAAACTTAAGCTTTTTTTTATCAAATTACTGGGGGTGGAACAAATGCGACCTTTTTTTTGCGCACCTGGACATTTGCGCACCTTTTTTTTGCTGGAAAAGGCCTTAGGCAAGGCCGTAGAGCTTCGAAAATATTTCCATAGAAGGGAATCGTATGCGTAGATTCCGAATTTCGACAAATCAGACCTCACTGACACGTCAAATTTGGGCTAAAAGGCAAAAACTGCGGAAAAGCGTTAAGTTGCGTAGTTTTTGCCATTTTAGCCCAAATTTGACGTGTCAGCGAGGTCTGATTTGTCGAAATTCGGAATCTACGCATACGATTCCCTTGTATGGAAATATTTTCGAAGCTCTACGGCCTTGCCTAAGACCTTTTCCAGCAAAAAAAAAAGGTCGCATTTGTCCCACCCCCAAATTACTATATCTTTTTAAATAGAAATTTGTATGAGTGAATTTTCTCTTTTCTAACTAGAAATTGCTCCGTTTTCCTATAAAATTTTACGAGCATTTAGGTAAAATTTTTGTATCTAACAGTATAAATGCTTTGAAAATTGATTCTTTTTACCCAAATAAACTATTTTCTCAAAAAAAAATGTCTAATCTTTGTTTGAACGATTCTTAAGCCAAGAATTCTCTCTTTTCTAGGCGTGCAGAAAAAATTTGTCAATAAAAAGAAGGCAAAAGCGATTAAGCGATTAATCAGGTGACTTTTTATAAAAAGAAATTACCGTAAATACTGTAATAGTACCCCACCCCCATAATGACGATGCGGAGTGTTGTGTAGTCTAGCTTTGAACGAGTTTTTCTCGACACTGGTTTATGCTACAATGCACGTTTAGGTATCAAAAAATAGCTGAAATTCAGGGCTATTTTTTGATACCAAAGACGCATTTTTTTGAAAGTACGGGCGCTTTGGAAAAAATGAAATACTGAAAAACTTTTGCGACTACGTGAATGTACGAGGGGGGTGCGGTACTATTACAGTATTTACGGTAGGTCAATGATTGCTTTCAATTTGTCATTCTGATCATTTTACTCATTTTGCATTCTTTCAGTAAAATGGAAATTTGTTTTTGAATAGTATAAGATATCTAAAAATTCGTTTTCCTCTAATTTTGGCTTCTTGGTAACAAAAGAGATTCAATCAATAAATCAAAACTTGATCTAGTTTTGGTTTAATTTTGTTAAAACTTAATTGTTAACTGTTAAACTAGTTTTTCCCAATGGAAAGGATTACAGTATTTACGGCACAATACTAGATTTTAATGCATTTCTTGCTTTATTTTTCAGATTTTCTATTGCTTTGAGCAGATATAGATTCCATCATTCATCTATTGCTTTGAGCAGATTTTCCATTGCTTATAATAGCATTTTACAATCATAACAGATGTTTTATTTATGTAAACAACAAATTCTTTTCTTTTTCTCAACTACTTAAGCCTTTGTTTAATCATTTTTAAATAACTAAAGTTCCTTCATTTTCATTTGTAATCTTACCTCGTTTTTCTGATCAAAATGCATAGTCAAAAGCTTGAAAATCTTATTTTATTCATCCTTGATCTTTAAAGTTACACAGTTTCCTTAAATTTAGCTTCATTTCGCAATTACACGACAATTCGACGCAATTAGATGACAATTACAAGAAAATAGATCCAGAAAATGTTTGTGATTGAAAAATCTAGATAAACTCATTCTTTAGAATAGACCTTTGTCGAATGAATTGAATGATTCATCCCCAAACCCATCAACTTTTTCCTTCTCAATCCCCTCCACAACAATGGCCTTTCAACAGCTGACTTCTCCCCTTCTCTTTTCTTTTCCATTCTTGTTTAGTGCTTAGATTTCTTTTCCCCTTTCTTCTCATCTTCGTTTCCTTTCTTTCATTTGGTTTTGAAATGTAAAACAAACCTTTTTCATGTCTAATACCTCTTTTTGTCTTTTCCAAATGGAAAAATTTCAAAAAACAAAACATGAACATGAATTTTCTACATCATCTTTTCATTTCTAAAATCTTATTTTTGAAAATTTTCAATTCAAACTCGAATCTTTCGAAATTTAAGCAAGACAATCGACTATTTTTGAAAGTTTTTAGCTTTTAGAAGCTTTTAGCTTTATGAAGTTTTTAGCTTTTAGCTTTTAGAAGCTTTTAGCTTTTAGCTTTATGAAGTTTTTAGCCAAAATTTTCTAGATTTTTCAAGAAAACCTTCAAAAATGCAATCTTTTTTCATGAAAATCTTTAAAAAAGCAATTTTTATTTGAAATTTTTCAATCTCAAAGTTAAGCCAGACATCTGAAAGTGAGAAATGCCAAGAAATCTACAAATTTTGAGAAGATTTGCCATTTTTTTTTCGACAAAATTCCTTTCAGAATGTGATTCAAATCAACGATGAATCACACAACATTTCTTTTATTTTCTCTTGTCATTCATTACAATTCTATTCCTTTTTTTCAATGAATTTTAAAGTTTGATGTTTACCGTAACCATTATCATTCTTTTTCTAGGGTAGAAAAATGCTGGGCGCATCAATCAGCCCAGCTGAAGGTGGAGTACAAGTCGATGGAAAAATGGTGAGAAAATCGGACAAATCTTTTGAAATCTCTTTCAACCATACTTTTACGCTTACTTTATGCACTCAAAAATGTAAATACAATTCTTGTACATTGAATCTTTCGATTTCAATGCACCAGCGAAAGGATTTGTTTCGATTTTTGAGCATAAAGTACCTTGTTTTTAAAACATACAATTTGTGGCTTATTTTCCAGGGTACCGACGACTTGCCAGCCACTCAGAACCTCGATTTTCGAAGATGTATAGCATTTATTGGTAAGTTTAATTAATTATATGCTCAATTTTAATAATTCTTTGTACCGTATTTTCTCTAATAGTAGTGCACCCAGAGCGTCCCCTAAATTTCTCGAAATCTCGAGAGCCGCTTATCAGAACCTATCGATGTGGGGTCGGAAAATGTAGCTGACAATGAGATCTAGTGGGGGATTAGATTATTGAGCTTCTGCAAAAGCTTGAAAACCGTAAAATAGACACCAACTCGGCTCGGCGGGGTGCACTACTATTAGAGAGACTACGGTATTCTAGGTTGCGGTGCAACTTGGTTTCAATTACGGCCTATTGTAGGTGCTTTGCATTTACCTGAGCATTTGAAGAATAAACATATTGCTACTATAATATTTTTGTTAGCATATGACCCTTATCTAGATCAACAATATACCGTATTCTCTCTAATAGTAGTGCACCCTGAGCATCCCCTAAATTGCTCGAAATCTCGAGAACCGCTTATCAGAACCTATCGATGTGGGGTCGGAAAATGTAGCTGACGATGAGATCTAGTGGGGGATTAGATTATTGAGCTTGTGCGAAAGCTTGGAAACCGTAAAACTGTCATCAACTCGCCTCGCCGGGGTGCACTACTATTAGAGAAAATACAGTATATATAAAATATCTATTTAATTTTCCATTTTCAGGTGGCACATATTTTCTCATCATGACGACTTTTATCATACCGGTAGCCTGTTTTGCATCATGTGTGCTCTTTTTGTTCCCACTTATGTTTATCAAGTGAGTTTAGATAAAGGAAATCGTTCTAATCAATTTTAAAGAAATGATTTGTTCAAAACATGTTTTTGAAATCAATTTTAATCTAGATAGGCGGCTTTAAAGATAAAAGATTTAATACTTTGTGCTTAAAAGCTGTAAACACGCGTGTTCTTGTGCACTGATAGTTCCTCTCCGTTTCTTTCTTTAGTTAACTTCGGCTAGAGTAAGGGAATCAAGTGCATTGTGGTGTAATGTTTAGCATAGTTGCCCGGTAAGCGAAAGATCACGGGTTCGAGTCCTGGCGGAGTACAAGTTTTTGATCTATCTTAGTTCTATCTTTATTTGAGACTTTTTAAAATTAAGCCTGCCAGAGAAGGTGTTTGCATTGTTTTCGAGCACAGAGAATACAAATGAAAAATTTTATCTTGAAAATCAGTCAAATTCTACAGTGAGCTCTACTCAGGCAACAAAACTGACTTTTTAAACTTTTTAATCACAGAAAGCCAGTTCAGTCTCTTAGCAAGCTACAATAATCAATTTAATATCATAAATCAATCAAATTTTAGTATGAATCTATTCAACAAACTGGAGCAACGATTGTGTCGTTTGGTGAACGATCATTGGGTGACAACAGCCTACTATTGTGGAGTACAAGGTGAATGTTTCAGCTCTGGCAATTTTCCTTTGCTAGCAAACCATTTACCCTTTACCCTTTACCCTCTACTAACTCAATCACTGACATTTCTTTTCTTTTTCTCTTGCTCATGAACTTCTCATAAAGTTTTCCAAAATAATTTCAAAAGCTTTGTCTATAATTTATGACATGTTTAGGCTTTGTTTTCAATTTTTCTCTAAACACATTAAGAAATTTATTTTTCTTCACAAAATCCACTCCTTTAGCGACTATTTTTATGCACTTTACGGTCAAAATTGAGACCAATTTCAAGAAACAGAGACATTCGAAAAGTAGAAAATCGGGGTTCTTTGAAAATTAATGAAGCAACGATTGTGTCGTTTGGTGAACGATCATTGGGTGACAACGGCCTACTATTGTGGAAGTCTAACTATTAACATATAAAGAAAGCTAAAAGACTCAATTGTTGGGCTTTTTGTAATAGAATGTTACCCGTGTGCCCAAAATTAAAACCGATCTCCGGTTTAGTTATCCAATCCTTGAGCCTCAAAATAAGTTAGTTAGGCCAAAGTTAAGTAAAAAGCCGGTTGGAAGCAATTATAACGAACTTTAAATCTTACTCACAACACTTTAATCAATATGTTCAAGGCTTGAGGCCTTTTATATACAAAGAGTACTCCAAAACGCACGTGAACTCCTCAACAATCGTTAAGAGAGCACGTGCTTTCTTCTCTTTTCTTTGTCTTTTCTTTTCTTCTTTATCCCATTCTTCTGCGCATTTCTCTTTTTTTTTTATTGACGAGCCTCTTTTGCCATTTTATTAGCACAATGGAAGAAAGAGGCAAATATTTAGATATCAATGTATCATCAATGTGACTAATACATGAATTTGAAAGTTCTAGGGACCAGAAATAGACCTTAACTTTATTTTTAATCTTTTTAAGTCATGATTAGGCAATGCTTTAATGAGTAAAGATGTAATGATTAGGTAAAGATGTGCAAATCATTGACAAACTCAATATTGTGGTTCAAGAATTTCAAGAGTTTCAAGAATTATAGAACTAAACGATGGAATTTAGTCCGAGAATATGGCACTGATGTGAGCCGTTTCATCGAATCGAAATGTCTGTACTTGGCCAATCATCTAGGTCTCGTCGATCACTTCGTTGTGATGACATCATTGCACAATAGAGGGAATGTTTCCGGCAGTGTGAGTGATTAAAATGATTCGTTAGCGGCTGAATTTCGTAAGCGGCTATGACATATAAACACTAATGTTAAAGCAAAGACTATATGTCTAATGACCAAGGGATTGGGAATAAAAAAAAACATAAAAAAGGATTCTACATTTGAATGTGCAAAACACTTTCATTCTATCTGCAACTATCTGCTAAATCGTTATCATCCTCAAAAAAACATTTAACCATCTTCAACATTTAGTGGATGTGGGTGATCTACAACATTTGGAAATTCACTCCACTTGGAGCCATGTGGACACTCCACGGAAATTTCTTTGTCAATGGAGGACCAAATCGAGTAAATCTAAAAGAATTTAATCGAAATTTGCTAATTTTGTTTAAACTTTAAGCAAACTTTAAGTTTTAAACCATTAAAGTTTAAAGTTTGCTTAAAGTTTTATCATTCCGACATTCCAGAAAGCTGCTCTATTGGAAACGTTTAAAAAACATTTGAAGAATTTCTTCGCAAAGCACAATTACAGGTGAAAATTAGCAAAAAAAATCTTGAAATTTTTCTTTTTAGTTGGATTATTATGTATCCAGAGGGATCTCGTTTATATTTGATTCGAGAAAGTGCAGCAAGTTTTGCAAAGAAAAACGGATTGCAACCATTGCAACATTGTACCTATCCAAGGACAGGAGCCGCTCACGCTGTTTTAGAGGTGCTTGGTCCACAAAAAGGTAAATAAATGATAAGATTTCTTTTAAATAATTCGAAATTTCATTTAGAATTGTTGGTTTGCAAAAATTAGCTTTGAAAAAAAAAGCTTTTCTTTGAGTATTAAGATCAAAGAAGTTCTAAGAATTTTAATGAACTTTAAAAGTGAAAAATGAAAAGAAATCAAAAACATTTCAAAGTTAACCTTGTCGAAAATTGTCTATGAACTTGTCAACTCGCTTTTCAGATGGCGAAGTGGCTCGAAAAGGATCCGGTGAACCAGTGAAGTACATCATCGATGCAACTCTCGGCTATCCGAAAGGAAACGTCGTTGATATAGGTTTGCTCTTATTTTTAAAGCTCATCGAAATATTACAATATTTATTTATCAAAATGCATAATTATCCGCAATTTTCTTAATCTCATCAGCTTGAAGGATTCGCTTTCCTTTCTGAGAATCGTCCAGAGAGGCCGCGACTAGGGACTGAAATTCAACAACTTTTCATTCAACAACTTTTAATCGAAATTTTAAAAGCTACCGTAAATAATGTAATAGTAATAGCAAGAATAACTGTAATAGCAAGAAATGCACTAAAATCTACTATTTAATAACGTGCCGTAAATACTGTAATAGTACCCCACCCCCATAATGACGGTGCGGAGTGTTGCATAGTCTAGCTTTAAACGCATTTTTCTCGCCACCCGTTTATGCTACAGTGTTCGTTTAAGTATTAAATGAAAGCTGAAATTCAGAGCTATTTTTTGATACATAAGCGCGCATTGTAGCATAAACCAGTGTCGAGAAAAACTCGTTCAAAGCTCGACTACACAACACTCCGCTCCGTCATTATGGGGATGGGGTACTATTACAGTATTTACGGTAGATATAATTTTATATCTATTTTTATATATTTTAAGCTATTATATATCTATTCTGTGATATAAAAGCTATTTTTCTAAAGCTAGAACAAAGTCCCGTCAAAAAACGTTCACCTACCTGTGCCACAGCTAAATCAGTGACTTGAAACTTTGAGGTGAAGTACATTGTTGGCTTTAGGAGGCACTTAAATTTGAATTGATAAGATTTAAGGCAAAGTTTATCTACCGTAATGATTTTGTAGGGGACTGTGGCCACTTCCCTTTCCCCGATGATCATCGGCGGTCGGGTGATGATCGTTCGGTTAAACCCAAGCGCTAGAACATCCCTTTCGGCGGCTGCCTAAAAATTTCTTATCACAATTCCCTGCTGAATATGGTTAATATTCAGAAACTTTGAGAAGAATTCAGTAATTTTATCTTCGCCTATGTTTTTAGAAGTTTTGGAGTTGAAAGAGCCTCTCACTACTAGTTTAGCTCGTTTAACTAACCAAAACAAACAGGCTTTATTTGTTTATATAATGTTAGACTGATTAAAATGAAAGGCTTCAATCGATTTCTCGATCCTGAAATCCCTAGGCACAGCTAGCACAGCTATCTTTTTCTGGAGCCATCTACAAAGCAAAAGAAAAATCTCTGTAAATTATTGGCGAAGTATTCTTTGTGCGGCCGTGTAAACGCTTGTGATCTGGTAAACCCGTCCAGTGTAAAAGGTTCTCTTTTGGGATCATTTTTGCTAAAAATTCCGCATCCCGTTAAGCCATTGTGTCACTTAAAAAAGTCGCAAAGTCAAGAGAAAAATCCGATCGAATTTGAGCGTCTTTTCACTTGATTTTCTTAAGATTAATGGCCTAATAAAGTTCTTATCGGGTAAGTGATTAACATTTTAAAATTCAGCTTTCAAATATCCCAATCTCACCTTAATTCTCGGGTACTCAAATCGACTTTTTTCATCGGTACTCGCCGCAGTGACCAAACAAAACGTATCCGTTCCACACTCTTTCGCCATTTTTGCCGTATTCACCACATAATCGTGATCAACTTTAACAAAAAGATCCTAAAATTCAAAATTTATAACAATCCCAATCATTTTCTCATTTTCTTTTACCGGATGTAGCCTTGATGAAGTGCCTAAAGCGCAAAATCCGACATCAAATCCTTCAAAGTCTTTCTTATGCTCGGAAAGGTTCTCGAAATCAATTTTTCTTTGTTCCTAAAACGAATTTTGAGTTTATTATTGTGAAACCTTTAAATATAAACTGTTTTCCTTTAAAATTTCATTCAAAATTTCCTTCAAATTACCAAATGCTTCGGCGGATTTGGCAAATCGATATCTCGTCGCCCGAAAAGAACAATTCTTGAGAAGCGGGGGTTTGCAGAAAGGGTCTAGAATTGAATTTTGAGAATAAAAAGCAGCACAAAGCTTTTAGATAACATTATTAGATTATAAAAATCCAAGCTTATTTGATAGTTAAGAATTTCTGATCCATTTCCCTACCTCAACCAGCTGTTTCCCGACCATTCCACTCGCGCCAACGACAAACGCTTGCTTGGTGTTCATTTTGAGAAAAAAAAGCTAAAAGAAAATGTATAAATGACTTCTAAATTAGTATAAAATATATAAAATTAGCAAAATTTCCACCAAATCGATATAAAAGTTTATCATAAAGCATTCAGCAAAAGATTTTTTACTAAAGCTTTTAAGAAAAGGGTAATAAAACTACGATTTCTATAAATTGTAAGCAAAAAATAATGAAAAGCAAATGAAATATAAGTATAGAAGAATGCGAAAGTATTCATTTATTTGCCTTTGAGGAATGGGAGAGAGTTGAGAGAATGGAGGGGTTAGAGAGGGATTGGGAAGCGGGAAAGGAGTAGAACTAGAGTCTTCTCTGATGACAAGCAACGGGAGATTGTGGTTTATGTTCAACCTTTCTCCTTTACTAATTTAAGACTCACTTTGAGTCAGAAACCAGAAAATAGCTTGGTGTGAGTGGTTTGAGATGAATATGGTCATTTTGAAATATCTAACAAATGGAGCTTTTCCTTACTCGAACATTTCTTGATGTGAAGTTCTACAAGTTATGAAGTAAAGCTAATGTTGATGCAAAGGTAGATCTAAAGATTGAACACCTTTTCAATTTCCTTCAGCATCTATGAAATAATGAATAACCCGACAATGAACCAAAGCTTTTGCAAGGGAAAAGCTTTAATTAAAGAACAACCTCAGCTTTCCTATATTATAGTTATAGAGTTATACTTACAATGTTTGAATGAATATTAGAGCAATCGGTATCTTCAAACAAAAAAAGACAAATACATCAATATATCCCCAAAAATTAGTTCATTGGGGATCTAACTGACGAATAATTTTTAGACGATCAAATAATCAAATCCAATCCAATTCCAGGATTTCTCTATCAAATTCAAACGATTCAATCCAATCCAATTCCAGGTTCCACAATCATGGGCGATTTCCCATTGAATGATCCCTCCATCGCCATTCACTACGATGTCATCCCAGTGAAGCCTGAATGGGCAAATGAGGAGAAATTGCAAGAATTTTTGTATGAACGGTAAGAGTTCTCCGATTTCAATGAACAACAGCATTTCTCTAGATATCGCCGAAAAGATGAGCTCCTCAACGAATTCTACAAAACGGGTCAATTCCCGGGTGAATCAAGAGGAACGGTGCAAGTGAATGGATGGTTGATGTTGAGGGCACAGGTCAGATATTGATCTGTTTTAAAACTAACTAAAAATATATCATGTCAGAACAGAAAAAGATCTAATTTCGATAGTTCTAGGCATTTTAAGCATGTAGGGGTGTTCTACGCAAGCTCTAGAGTCAGGATCTCGTCCTAGATGGCTCAGGCTAAGACTCGATCTCAATCTGACTCAGTTACTCCAGCACTTGTGGCTCAGAACAAAACCTAGCTCCAGGCTGACCTAGGCATGGCTTGTGGGCTAATAAGGGAGAGTTTCAAAGAGGGTGTGAGACTCTTATCTCACCTATAAGCAGCTATCAGTAGTGGCCTAGGCTATGAAACTGATGGGGTCTTTGGTCCCGGGTTTGATCACTCTCGCCATCTAGCATTTTGCTTTTTTGTAAAACTTTGGCAAAACATTTTTTGGAGTTCCTAAAGTGTTTGTTTTCATTTTTTTAAAGTCTTTTTTTCTTTTTGAATTCCTAAGATTTAAACCAGGTTTGTGAATCAGACTTGAATCCAAACTAGCTCAGGATAAGGCTGCTGGTCAGACCCGGTACTTTGTTTTAAAGTCATTTTCTAGCCTAGGTAAAAGCTTGCAAAAGCTATCAAGTCTTAAGCTGACCTAATCTTTGATTCTAAAATCACAGCCTTAGACAGGTAGCTGGTACAAAGTAGAGTACAAAGTACAGTACAAAGTAGAGTACAAAGTATCGTACAAAGTAGAGTACAAAGTATCGTACAAAGTAGAGTACAAAGTAGAGTACAAAGTTTGCTAATTGTCCTTTTTTTCAGGTGTTTTGGATGGGCTCGTACTACTTGCATCACATTTTGTGGATTAAACCCTTGTGGACTTTCGTTGTCGCGTGTCTTTATTCGATGATCTTCTAATGTTTTTCTAATTCTACAACTGAATTTCTTGATTTATCTTAAAATTCTGGTATTTCACATGTAAATTTCCCTCAATTTCGGGTGTAAACTGTGGTTTTTTTTGTCCATTCTTTTTAGCCAAATACAGTAATTCAATTAAAAGAGAAAACGGGTTACTGTATTTTATCCGTTTTATAAATTTCATAGCCTAAAAGTGCCAACGATTTCTCGGTTCATTTTTTTTGCTACAATTAAATACTTAAACTTGTATGTAAACTGGTTTTATGTAAATTCTTTTATGATAGGATAGTAATTTGGAGTGTAACGGTCATTGAATACCTTTGGAAAGCCGTATTCTGTTACCAGATTTTCTAAAAATGACGATTTTCCCGTTTCAACTCCTATTTTTTTCTCTAATTTTCTCTAATTTTTCTCTTATTTTTGGTCCTTCTTGATTTCACGACGAAACGTTATTTGTATATCATAGTTTATGTGATGCAAATCGTTTTTAAGATAAATATTATAAATATTTTCATTTCCACAAGGTATACGTTCCTAGTTATAAACGGATGTGGACTAGAATTTGGGTTAAGTTAAAAAGAGTGGATCCCTTTTGATCAGCCATCTAGGAGCCATCTCTAACACACCGACAACCCAACTCAACTCCTCCAACGTATTAGAGGGGAGTCCCTGTGAAATGACCGACCTGTACTGCAGTTGCATAGACCCGGAAGATACGTATCTTTATTTACAGTAGTACAATAAGATGAATAGATTAGAAATCAGTGTAAGGGGAAGGGGGCACTCCAAAATGAGAGTCTCACTTGTCCTCCTAGGCAATCCTAAGGATCTCCTCTTCTCGGCAATAAAAGAATAAGCACAGGGGAGAACACATTTGCATAAGAATAGACAAATCATTCAATAATAACAAGAACAACTAAAATATCCAACGTATTAGAGGGGAGTCCCTGTGAAATGACCGACCTGTACTGCAGTTGCATAGACATATGTATCTTCATTTACAGTAGTACAATAAGACGAAGAGATTACAAATAAGTGTAAGGGGGAAGGGGGACTCCAAATGAGTCTCACTTGTCCTCCTAGGCAATCCCAAGGATCTCCCCTTCTCGGCAATAAAAGAATAAGCACAGGGGAGAACACATTTGCATAAGAATAGACAAATCATTCAATAATAACAATAGTAACTAAAATATCAGTTTGGCTCGGAGCTGAAAAAGGTGAAATTTTCAATTACTGACTCGACTGACGCCTGAAATTTGCCAAAATCAAAAATCAAACATCAAACAAGATCAAAAATGTAATTTTCTCAAACTAAAACTTTCTCAGAAAAGCCTTACCAATTTCTTCACTTCTTTATTACGTTGAGATACTCGTACAAAGCAGGATGCTGTCGCTATTTTGTGGAGACAATTATGAACTAAACAAAAAAAAACTTGCTATAACGAAACTACTTTCCAAACTTGTTATAACTAAGTTTTTGACACTAATCTTTTATTTCTTTCAAATATCAATCTTTACAATACACTTTTTCTTTAAATTACGTTTTTAGACGTTAGATCGACGACTGTATGTCCCGGGAGAAGGCTTTTGGATAGATACTAAAAATATTTTAATCTCTTCTTTTTCAAATTGTGATTACTCGCTCATTGCATCCAACTCCTGGTGGAGTGTGCCAGAAAGTCGTTTTCGAGCACAGAAATTATGAATAATGCTTTTTGATCGTAATCAATTGTTTGCCTTTGAGCTTAGCGTAATTATTGTTGTTTTATTGGTTAGCTGGGTACGAAATGTCGGACTTAATTTATGCTCGCATTCTCGGAAATCAAAAGATTAGCAAAAAAAGGATGTTCTTTCTTTCGAAAGTTGGAAGTTCAGAAGTTTTTTCGAAAAAATTGATCATCGGGAATGGAGTTGGGGCAAACCTAATACAACTTAATACAAATTTTTGTAATTAGAAACCTCTGAACTGCTCTTGCAAATAATTTAGAGTGCTTGGGCAGAAAAAAAAGGTCACTGGCGCAAAAATAAACATCCAATCGTTTTCCAATAGCTAAAGTGACCTGCTAGTAAGTAAGATTCTTGTGTTTTTTCAAGTCAATTTTTAAATAAACATTACAAAACTTTTATTTGACTACAAAGCTTACTTTTAATACTTTAACTGCATTGCAAAAGAGGAAAAAGCTCAGATTTAAACTTTTAAATTAAAAATAACACATCAGCACATAGTAAAAGCAGGACTATTTGAAAACTTTTGAAAAGGTGGCAGGATCTGGGAATGGGAAAAGAGATTTGGTTTTATTTAGAAAAATAAAAACAAAAGCAATAACATTTTTAGCTTTGGAACATGGTGTGCACAAATTGTTCATAGTCGAGACCGCCGGGGATATTTCGGCTTGAGATCGCGTCCAGATAAGGCTTCATACGCTGAATGCAGAACTCGGCTTGCTCGGGAGTCAGATTCTGAAATCAATTCACTAGTTTTCTTTTTAAGACTCATTTTGGCTTTCTTTGGCCTTAATCTTTAACTTTTATGGATGTTAGAGTCCCTTGCCGATTTTGATTTAACAATCTAATTAAACTTCAGAGTTATGTATGATTTAATAAAGTCTAAAATCTATCTAACATCTAACAAAGCTTAAGTCTGAAGAAATAAGTTCTTTAGTGCAAAGAACTTATTTCTGCAAAAACTTACTGCATAGAGCTCCTCTGCAGTAACATATGGACGGAATTCCTTTGACAAAGCACGGAAAGCGCTCTCGATCTCTTCAGATGATTGGATGTTCTCGGTTTCTTTAGAGATCATGAACGCCATGTACTCTTGCAGATTTACCCAACCATCTCTGAAATTGGTTTCTTTGGTTTACTAGTTGCAAATAGCCAATAAGTAATTGTGTAATAAAGTAAAGAAATTAAAGAATTTGGAACCAAGGGGAATTGAACCCTTGACCTTCTGCTTACGGGGGCAGATTTTCTACCATTGAGCTATAAGTTTACCTCTGTGGATCAACAATGTCCAGAATTCTGTTGAACTCGGGCTCGGGTTGTCCCTCGTCAACCATCGGGAGATCGTAACCCAACGCGCGCAGACAAGACTTGAACTGCTGGTGATCAAGTCGACCGCACTTCTCCTGGAAATCGTAAGGTTTATCGTAAGGTTTTATTTGATTGGGTTAGCTACTTTAGATTTTGAATTGATTAGATTGCGAGATCAATTTTGATTGTTTTCTTCTGTTTTCCAACCTTATCGAAATGCTTGAACATCATGGAGAATTCGCGAAGTGCCTCCTCGGTAACTCCGGACTGGTTGCGAGCTTGGATCTGTTGCTCCAAATTGTGTTGCATTCTCATCGCCAATTGCTCCAATTGATCATAAGCTTGAGCAAGGCCGACTGTCGAGTGTTCGGTGTAACTAAAGAACTTTTTGAGTATTGTAACATTTCAATTCATAAAGTCAATAGTATCTTTTAAAAAAAACTCACCGATTGTCAAGAATGAGATTCCTCTCCAAGAGTGCTCCTTGTTCTTCAATCTTTCGCAATTGGGCCTTGTTTGCGCGAATGTCAGCGGCTTTCTTTTTCAGGACCTAGAGTCGAAAGTTGTAAACAAGTTTCGAAAAAGTTTGACTAGAGAATGACTAGAGGATTTCTTTGTTATCCCATGATGAAATCAATTTCTATGCTTACCTCCAGCTGTTCCTCAAGTGTTCCAACGGCTTCCATCATTTCCTGACGAGTTTGCGTTAACCAGTTGTGGAAAGCGTTCGCCAAGCGAGCAAAATCGCGACGAAGACTGAAATTTTGTCATATAAAGTGCTAAAGTTTTAGTCGAAATTTGGAGCTCATTACTTGAATTGAAGACTAAAATACTTTAGAGTAGCTACCCTGTTTAACTTTGCTAAGGTTTTTAGACTATTTCAAGAAGATCTTCAAGAATGAGATTCCTCTCCAAGAGTGCTCCTTGTTCTCCTTGTTCAACTCACCGATCGTTCTCCTCTTGTCTCGCCTTTTCCCTATTCAACTCGGTCTCTCGTTCCTTGATGATCTTCTGGAGATTTCGCCATGTCTAAAGATATTTCTATTCTGTGAAATCTACTATATATAAAAGAGCAATCCATCCGTTTGTACGAGCTTTTCTCAGCCGTCTTTAGATCAAAAAAGTCTCCAAATATAGTATAGTTGTGCCATTTAAATTAAAAATCAAAATAGAGTAGCACGATGGGTCGAACCCGGATCGTGTAAACCGTAGACAAGCGCACTCCCGACTGCGCCACGGCGACAACAAAACGGGTGGTATGCCGTATGTCCCAAAACATCAAAACTCGCCATCAGGCGGTTTTTTTTGGATAGTAGTCTATAAGACACTTGAGCTACCGTAACCATCACTTTACCAAAGCAAAATTTCCTTCAAATTTTATCCATTTTATTTCGATTTTAAGCTAAACTTTTGTCACTTTTAAAATTCTTTCTCTATGAGCAATAAGTGCAATAATTTTCATTCAAACCTCCTCCAAAGCATCCATCGTAAACCAAGTGTACGGATTGGGGCCAACATTGAAGGATTTGATCTGAATTGAATTAAAGTCTAAGTTAATCAATGAATGGCACTCACTCTGCGATCGAGTGATTGAAGTTGAACAAAGTCTTCTTCAGCTGAAGCCAACGACGCTTGGAACTCGTCGTGAGCTTGACGAAGAGCCACGATTTCTTCCAAAGAGTTGCAACTGAATTTTTTTTTTTAATTTTATCTATTTCACAGTATGCTATTCAGTTATTCATCGTTTCAACTCACCGAACAGGATCCGTTAAATCCTCCTCTGCATTCTCAAACCATGAGTTGAAAGTCGAGGCCTTTTTCGCGAACATCAAGTACAACTCTTCGATCTGTCTGTACTGTTCTTGCATCTTCAACAATTTCTGTCGTCTTCCCTCCGAGTTATTCAACAATTGTTGCCAACGAGCGATCACATTGTCATATCGTTTATTCACAGCCGGTGTCTGGGCATGCTTATTCGCAATCAATTGATCCCTCAACTCTGTGCATCGCTGAATACCATCGTGCTCAAAGTTGTTCAGCCCGGTATCGAAAGCATCGTGTTTATTGAGAAGGATTTGCACAGAGGATAAATCTCGTCCATAATCGTCGGAACGAACGAGGATCTCCTTATCAGCGATCCATCCCTCAACCACATCGCATTTCCAAACGAATTGCATATACGCATAGTTGTCGTTGAGTTTCTGGAGGCGATAGACAGCCAAATTGTCAATCTCGGCAAGACGGTTGCGTAGTTGCTCACATCTGAAAGTCGAACTTAATAATGTTTCAAAAGTTTACTGTGAAATTTTAAAATTTTAACTTTACAAGCCTTTCATTCAAAATTTGATACTCAAATCTTTTAGGTAGCTCTTGTTTCATCTAAGAATGGTAGTACTGTAATAACAACTACGATAACGGTACTGTAACCAACAAATTGACCAGCTACAAACCTCTGCTTAATATGTGGAGCATGATGATTTCCACGGTTGATCAAATCCTCGCCCATCTTGTTCAAATCAGCGACACGTTGTTTGTGAAGTTGAAGATCGACCTCGAAAGTCTTGTGCTTCTTGAGAAGTCCTTGTACAGCTGAACTTCTTTTTTCATTTCATGCAATGCGCTTTTTATCAGATTCTTTAAGCTTAGGCATTTGATTTGAGATCAGATCAGGCACAATGCCTTTAAATAAATCGAGAAATTAAGAGATTAAGGGATCACGAATTTTGTGAGATCTCTTACCGGCCATGTTCTCTCCAACGTTTGGTGAAGAGAGGATTTGTTGACGCTCGTTCATCCAAGCTTCTTCTTCCTCTATCTGGAATAGAAAAGTTTCATTTGCAAATTTGCAAATTGTTTCAGTCAACATCACAAGTTTTGAGACTTATTATCAATTCAAGAACTTTAATAACTATCCATTTAGAGATGTTCCAATTAGGCTGTGACCCAGACAAGGCCAGAAGCTAAAACAGGACAGTCTGACCTTGTTTGGCCCAGAAAATCAGTTTTGGAAAAGCCTTAACCTGTAGCTCAATACTTTTTACATCTTTTTTTCTGTTTGTACGTAATTCTTAACACTTTTCTCTTTCAACCCACCTTTCCAAGGAAATCCTGGAACTCCTCACTCTCGTTCAATCGTTGTTGTCTCTTTGCTGTCATCTCTCTCATATTACTCCATTGTGCTTCCATGTCAGCCATTCTCTTTCGAATCTCATCTCCACCCAAATCTCCGGCAGATCTCAGCAATTCGATTCCTCGTGTTCTCACTTGTTCCACCAATGGCTCATGGCTCGTCAACTCGGTGTCAATTCTGCGATGTTTACGACGCAAGTTTTGCACTCCTTGCAAATCTCTTCCATAATCATCCGAGCTGACCAAGAGCTTCTTCTCCTTGATCCACGATTCTTCATCATCGACTTCACGGAAGAATTGGTGAAGATTGAGTGCTTTATTCAATTTGTCTCTTCTTTCTTTAGCTTGTTGTTTCACACGATCATAACGATCATTGATGGCACGACGGCGCTCATCAATTTGTTGATTGGCGAATTGGTCGGATTGAAGAAGGGAGTCAGCCTAGAAATGATCGTTTAGCTAGTTATTAACCTTATGATTAACGCCTAGCTATAGATTCAATATCACGTACTAGACTTGTAACGAAAACTGTCGGTCTTTCGGTTCTTTTTACCGGTGGCAATTTAGGGTTTTTTTGTGTTTCTCTCAGCACCACCCCTCGTTTTTGACTATCATTCGATGCAGAATAAAATTGGGCGTCGTATGATACCAAAATTAACTCAAAATGTAATATCCACGTAACGTTATGAGGCAAAAGGTTAAGTCTCGCCCATAATGGGCGGGGTTTAGGTTTTTAGCCAACATTTTTAGATTTTTTTGGTCAACATTCTCTTCCACTTACCTGTTGATTCATCTCATTTACTCGATCTTGATGTGCATTCACATCAGCCTCCAACAATTGGTGTTTCTTCAGCAAATTCTCCACTGATGGCAAATCCTTTCCATAATCTGGACTGGCGAGCAAGATCTCCACTTCGCCCAACCAGAACTCCAAGTCTTTGACAGCGGCCATGAATGATTTCTGTTTGTTAGCTTCTTTGAGTCGATAGCTCTTGTCATGAGTTGTTCGAACGAGAAGCTCCCATTGATCGTTGATTGCTTTAAGGCGATCACCGACCGCGTCTTCTCCACCCGCGCATTTCGCACCATCAATAAGGTTTTGACCAGCGTGGATTAGAGTGGCTGAAAAGTTGTAAAGAATATATAAGTTTAATCTTCTAATCACTTACAAATTCGGTCAGCATTCGCAGCCAACTCAGCCTCGAAAGCCTGTTGCTTTTGGTGCTTTTGTTGGATGTTCGTTGGATCACAGTAGTCAGCCTCTTGCGCAACCTAGAACAATTTTTTGCAAAAACTAGAGCTAGATTCAGGACTTGTTTTAAGAATTCTTTTCACTTACCTGGAATTTCTCAGCGATCCAGTTCTCAATCTCGTCGGCATCTCGGGAGAATTGTTGCAATGTTTGACTTTCTCCTAATTTGCTTCTCTTCTCAATCAGCTGCGTCTTCAGGCGATCCCAACGGTCCAGAATTGAGTCTCGTTTTCGAGCGATACCACCCTAGAATTACTGTTTTCGAAAAAAATCGATTTCTTTACTTGATCATAGTGTCCATCGTTGATCAAACGATCGGCAAAAGTCTTGAGTTGATGGATTTTCTCTTGTTGTGAGTTGATCGCCTTGTCAAAGTCCTCGTGTTTCTTGATAAGTGACTCGACATTGTCTCCTGAAATTTGAATGTTGTCAAAAGACTAATCCAAATACTGTAAATACATAAATCTAATATATTATCTAGTTATTAAGCTACAGTACTTAGTACATTATAGCTAAAGTTTGATCTACCTGACGGATCCTCAGCATTAAGGAATGCTTCACGAGCACTCATCCACGAGTCAGCCTGCTCACAGTCACGGAGGAACAATTGCAAGTTCAGACATTGATCAAGAATCTCTCTACGGTGCACCCAAGCCTCTTCCATTCGAATTCTCCCATCATTCACTTCTTGTTGTCTCTTGGCGATATCTTCCGAAGCGTAGTGATGATTGTTCAACAATTGACGAGCGAATTGATCAAATGAGTGGAAAGTCGCTCCACGAGCATCAATCTCCGTTCGATACTCTTGATGTCTTTCCAATAAAGCTTCAGCTCCAGTCACATCATTGGCGAGTTCTTGGCTAGAGACGAGACCGGTTTGGGTTTGAATCCATTGCGTAAGATCACGATAATCGGTCAAAAAGCGTTGATAGTCGTATGAATCAAGAAGTTTTTCACGGCGATTGTTGGCCTGGAAATGTTTTAATTATTTCAAAGTCTAAAGAATTGATCGAGAACTTTTTAAAGTTCTTTACCTTTGCGGTGAGTCTATTCCATTGCTCGGTGAGCTCGCGTTGCAAGTCGAAGATCTGTTCAGCGGCCTCGGGGTGGCTTTGTCTAAACAAAAGGTTTGAAAATTGTCAGTTTAAGATTTTCAGTACTGCCATTTTCTATAATATTTCAGTTTGAACAAACAAATTGAGCTATCCAAGTAATCCAAAGGATAGGGATGGAACTTCAACTCAAAATCAGCCTATAGACCAAGCCTATAGACCAAGACTATAGTACTTTGTGATCCATTTCTAAACAGTGTCACGCTTGGAAAGCTACCGTGAATTAGATAACAACTAAAGGCAAGGTTACCGTAGTTTGCAATGGTTTACATGTTTTAGAAAAGGCATTAGTCGATAGGAATCTAATTCTAATTCTAATACAATATAATCATAATATAGCCATTCCAATTCTAATTTACTGCCAATCAGCTAATCTTTCAATCCTTTCATTCTAGGCTGTGTTTCACCAGCTCGTTGATATTGATATCATCTTCAAACCAACCTCAATCTATTCGCCTTCTCATCAAGACTCTTGATCTTATCACCCAATGCAGCCAAATCTCTCTCAACTCCCTCATGTTTTCTTTGCAATGCTTGCACTGATCGAAGATCTCTTCCAAAGTCATCCGAATCGAGGGCATCATCCTAAAGCAATGCTTGAACGCAAATTTCCAAATTGCTGTCTAGCTGTGCTGTGCAAATGCAAAACTAACTCCAAATCAAAAACCTTTTTCTCGTCAGTTAACACAATTTTTGAAGCAACTTTTCGCTGTTCACTTACAGCCAATCCATAAGTTGTCTGTTAAAAAAGAAAATGTCGAAGTTTCACTTGTTACCAGATTTTAAGAAATTTCTGATAGTCAAATGCAACTACTTTTCATTTAGCGTCGTTTGCTGAAAACCGAGAACTTAATGTGTTAAGTTCGATTTGGATGAGTGACGCAGGCGGGTCCGAACCCGGATTGTTTGAGTGAGAGGCTAGATCGCTAGCCACTCGACCATAGAAGCCATTTGGGGAAAGGGTTGAGCGAACCTTTTCTTGGATCCAATCTCGAGTCTCGTCGACGTCACGATGGAAGCGTTGCACCTCGTGAGCTGATCCGAGTTGTTGTTCACGTTGCTCGGCTTGCTCCTCAAGCGCGCGCCATCTACAATGTTCACGATAAAGATTTAAGTCTTATTTTTGCTAGAATACCTGGCATTCAAATCCTCGATTTGTTGACGAATGCGGACAGCGGTTTCTGTTTGTCCGACTGATGTCAAAGCAGTGGCGATTTGATTCATCTCAGCGAGACGGACCTGAAAAGGAAAATTTAATTAAAATAACAGGAAACAAAGCTGAAATCAATAGAAAATCAATAGAAAATTATTTCACACTGTGGATTATATTTTATGCTTCAAATTAGAAACCTAAAAAGGGCAATTTAGTCTTCAAATTCTAAAGTTAAAGTTAATTCTAGTTAAAGTTAAAGTTAATTCTAGTTAAAGTTAAAGTTAATTCTAAAGTACAGCCTTTCTAGTGTACTTTACAATTCAAACCATGTCTAGAATAGTTTACAATGACTATTTAGCGTTAAAACAATTTAGATATCTATCCATTTTCTTTTTTTGAACTTTATATTCAAATCTTTTACCTCATGTGCCTTCATATCAGCCTTGAAATCATCAAATTTCTTTTGTTGCACTTCGACTTGTTCCAAATCCAATCCGATATCTTGTTGAGTTGCCATGTTCTCCTAAAAAATCTCTTTTATACCCAAAAAAAACTTCAATTTTCTTTCAAAAACAATCACTTTCTCGACACAACTCAAATAAAACGGGAATAGAAAATAGAAAAGAGGTTTTTGGGGTTATTTTTTTTAAGACTTTCTGAAGTTTGGACAAATTGTAAAACACAAAAAGCTTCACGAAAAAGTCTACGAGATGATTTTTGAGGTAAATCTTGGCCAAAGCCATTTTTTTTTTTAAGAAACTTACTTCGGGGAGACAAATCTGAAAAGTTTTATGATTTAAAAATCTTAAGAATTTCAAGGTTCGCTAATTTTTAGAACACACAAACTAAGGAAACAGAAATTTTGGGTTTGTTACAGGTGTTGTCAACTTTTTTTTGATGATAAGCTTCCAAAAACTCTAAAGGCTATCAAAATTTGATGACTAATTTATTTTCAGCTTTAATTTTGATATTTAAAAGTTGCGAACACCTTTAACAAAACATTTTTTAAAATAAAATCAGCCTACCCTGCTTCGAATCCATTCAGCCATGTCGTTAGCCTCACGGAGAAGTTGATAACCCTTGCAGGCTTCTTCAAGCTTCCTAAAAAAAGAATGAAATTGAAACTGAAGTTAATAATATAGTTCATCTTGTTTATCAATCACTATTTTAACAAACAATTTTAGTTTTTCTAAACGCTCACCTTTTGCGAGCCTCTCCAAGCATTTGAAGGCGATTATAGCGGTCCTCGATCTCATTCTGTTTCCCACCAATTGAGCTCACCTAAAGAAAGAATAATGAATTTCTTACTCATATTTGTTACTTCAATTTAAATTTAATAGATTTTCTATGTAATTAACTCTTATGAACGTTATTAGAAAGCTAAACAACTTACATGTTGTTGCGAGTGAGCTTGAGCAGTAGCTGCATCCATTTTCTTCACATAGGCTGCTGGGACGAATCCTTGACGATCATTTACTTCAACTTTCCACCAATCCTTATTTGAAGCGTTGAGCAGAGTGAGTACATCGCCTTTCTTCATCGAGACTTCACGTGGGGATTTCTCTTGATAGTCGTAGAGAGCGATCACACAGTCACGGCCTGAACTTATAATAGATTTATTTTTATCGTTATCACCCACCAAGTGCTCCAACTGGTTGCTCTTGATATTTGCATTGAGCGGCTTGCTTTCGGAGATCTTCGATAGTTCCCTTGAAAGCGTCCAAGTCCGAGAGGAGGGCACGGTGTTTCTAAAAGAAATTAAATCATCATAGCTGGATATAATCTTCTCTACTAACTATAAATGGTTATAAAGTCTTAAAATTATCTAGCTGAACTTGTTTTAGGGTAAAGACAAGCGATCGCTTGATTTAGTTATTGAGAATTCTTAAAAAGTGGCTGACTGGGCCACTTTTTAAGTGACTGGGTCAACCCAGTCACTTTAAAAAAACCTATAGCATAGCTGTAGTCGATCTCAAAGATCTCCAGCTAAAAATCAATCTCAAACAATCTTTACCTTCAACAATGCCTCAGCCGAGTCCTCATCTTTTCCATAATCTGTACTTCCGACAATCGGCTCCTTCTCGCCCATCCATGCCTCGGCCTCATTCGCATCAGCCAAATATTGGTGAGCCTAAAAGTAATTATTTTAGCTTAAAATTTCACAGAATAAAAGTAGAGAAGTCTATTTTCATCGCCATTCTCATTCTAGGTCAAAGGAGGCATTCAAAAATGGTCGACCACCAATGGAAATTCATCTCATAAAGGAAAGCTTACATTGAAATCGGTTTCTTGTGACTGCATTGAGAATTGGGGATTTTTGTTTTGAGAAAAAACTTCTGTCTCATTCTTGATCTTTTTTCACATTCTATTTTGATACCTGAAGCGAATCGTTGAGCTCTCCTCGTCTCTTGTCAGCCTTGTTCTTCAGCGCTCTCCAATTGTCCTTCAGTTGAGCCAATTTGTCGCGAATCTCCGGCGCCAAGAAGTGACCCTGAGCAATCATCTCTTCGGCGGCACGGGCAACCGAGTCAATCTAAAATTTGGAAATAGATCAGTATAGAGATCTGAAGTCTGTTACTTACTTGAGGCTCATGATTGGTGACTTCAGCGACGAGTGCTTGATGTTTCTTGATGAGATTTTGCACTCCGATCAGGTCTCGACCACGGTTTGTGGAAGCGGCAACCTAAAGGTAATCCGTTGATGTGAAGATTGCATCACTAGACCTACTTACATGATCATTTGACTTGTAAACATCGTAATATTGATTACAAGTACACTAATATTCTAAGCATTAGACCTTTAACTCTAGATCTGGCTTGCTAAGTTCTTGTATCCAAAACCTATTCTTTAATGTGCTGAGTTTGGCTATTTTTTTCTTACCTGCTCCTTCTCTCGGATCCAAGCCAATTCATCCTCAATATCACGGAAGAGTTGATTTCCTTGAAGCGATTCTTGGAGCTTATTCTGTCGCTTGATCAATGGATCAGCCAATGTATCAAATCGTCCTTGGAGAGCCTCGTATTTTCTAGAATTTTATAATCAATCGAAGAATTTGTGTTTGATACCGGAGAATAACGGGCGCATTGAAATGATCGTTGTCTTGGAAGTTTGTCGCCTGATTCTTGATTCCATCCATGCGATCTTTGTGTGCTTGGTAATCAGAGTTCTGAAGAGCATTCTTCTTTTGCAAGTTCTGCACAGAGACCAAATCTTTTCCATAGTCCTCGCTGGCAGCCTGGAAATTGTAAACATTTATGACAAAACTCTAGCCTGACTTAAAGCTACAGTAAAATAGTCTGTATCTCAAAGTATGACCTGTCCTTCTTGCTCGCTCAACCACAACTCGAAATCCTCGAGATTCCGATTGAATTGTTGCTCTTCGCCAGCCTCTCTCAATTTCGCCGCTTTCCGATTCGACGCCTCGACCAATTCATTCCAAAGCGCGTCCACTTCTCTCAGCCGATCTCTCACATGATCAGCCGCATAATGTCCCGATCTTACAATCTGATCTCCAGTTGCATTAATCTCATCCAATCTGTTCCGATTCGCCTTCAGCTCTTGCTCAAAGTTCGTGTGTTTCTGGAGCTTTCCACGAATATTTGTTGGGTCTAAGTACGAGTCATCTTTTGCAGTCTTCAACTTTTCAGTGATCCAAGCCAACATCTCATCACAATCTCTATCGAATGTTTGTCTACGATAGCTTTCTTCTAATTTTCTGCGTCTTTCAGCAGCACGATCCATCAAATGGCGGCGACGGCTGAGAAGAGCCTGACGACGACGAGCCACATCATCAGCTGCATAGTGCTGTCCCTAAATTTTATTCAATTTTATTCAATTCAATTTCCTCAGCTTTTTAAAACTCAAAGAATCTATAAGTTTAAGATAACAAAATCGACTATAAATCAAAGAAATTGAAAACTATTCTTTACCCGTCTGCTTATTTTCGATAAGATCTAAACAGGTGTAGAAATTCTTAACTTGCTCAACAAACCTGGATCAATTTAGATGCAAACTCGTCAAGAGCATTGATTTTCTCCTCTTGAGCGGCTAGACTTTTCTCAAAGTCCTCGTGTTTTTTCAGAAGAGACTCCACAGCGTCCAAAGAGTCACCCAAATCCTCGTTGGCCAAGAAAGCTTCCTGAATTTGCTAGCTGCTGAGTTTTTCTTTCAAAATACTATAACAAGATTACAAAACAATATACCTGTTTGTTCATCCAAGTCTCGGCTTGATCGGTGTCCCGATAGAAGAGTTGAAGATCCATACATTGCTCATAAAGAATTCGACGCTCTTGGCAAAGAGCAAGGAGTTCAGCCTAAAATCGAGTAATTAGATATCAATTGATGCTTAATTTAAGGCAATAAATGCTTTAGATTAGTCTATAATCAACATTGAGAGCTTAAATTTGACAAAACTCTCACCTTCTCCCTAGCAAGTGTCTCCAAATTGTGATGAATCTCCGATGATTCTGGCACTCCCTCATTGAGAAGTTTTTGTCCAGCTTCAGCGGTTTGTTTGAAAGAATCCTCTCGAGCATCAATCTCTCCTTCGTGTTCGTGATGAATTTCCAGAAGAGCCTCAGCTCCAGCAACATCTTTAGCCAATTCATCGGCTGAGATCACCGCCTTCATGTCATTGATCCAAGAGATTAGATCACTGAAATTTTAGGGTAACAAAATCGTGACATTACTCGTAACAAGGGTAATATTTATTTGAAAACTTGAAAATTTACTCCAAAGCTTCCCACTCACCGATAATCGGCCAAGAAGCGATGAACCATATGTGATCTTTCCAAACCAGCTTTACGATTAGCAGCCTTTCTCCTCAACGCATCCCATTGTTTCTTTGCTTCATCCATTTTAGCCTGAAAGTTTTCATTAAAGTATAAAATCTTTTTCATTACTTGAATAGCATCTTGATGATCGGGATGCGTTTCAATCAATCTTTGTTGATCTTTCTCCAAGTGTTGCATCTTTGCTTCTAATGCGGCCAGATCTCGCTCGGTTCCTTCGTGCTTTCGAAGCAGAGCTTGCACATTGTTCAAGTCACGACCTGGAATGGTTAAAAGTTTAAATCTGAACCAAATTAAAGCATAAAACGTCGCCTGGCGCCTATACGTGTCGGTGTAGCTCATTGGTAGAGCGTTCGGCCGGTAAGCGAATCCCCGTAAGCGTTGCGGGTTCGAATCCCAGCACCGATCATGTTTTGTATCCCCAGCCCATAAAAGGACCGTTCAACTCCAATAAAATTGACAATTTGTCAATCAATTACCGTAATCATTCGATGAAAGAGCCAAATCCTTCTCAGCAATCCAGGCTAAAGTCTCATCAGCGTCACGGTTGAAGCGTTGAACTTGTTGAGCGCCGAAAAGTCCTTCACGACGAGTGGCGGCCAAGGTGTTCAATTTGTGCCAAGCGTCATTCACCTAGAACAATATTTTGTTTAGTGTAACAATATTAGACTTACCTCATCTCTCTTCTTGTAAATCTGATCATGCTCAGTGTGTCCCTCTTCAACCAATTTCCTTGCCGCTTCATTGATCTCTGTGATTCTATAGTGATGATTTTGAAGATCCTTGAGAAAATCCTCGAATTTCCGCTGCAGAACCTCAACATGTTCCAAATCCATTCCCAAATCTTCCGATGTGACAAATGTTTCTTTATCACGAATCCAACGAAGAACCTGCATATGGTTTGGTTTAATTTTTTAAAATTATAAGCTCACCTCATCGCATTGACGCACGAATTGCAAGAGTTTCAATGCTTGATCGAGTTTGAGTCCCTTCTGCTGGAGATGCCATTGCAATTTGTCCCAAAGGGCGTGTAATTCATCGAGTCGTTTCTAGAACATTAAGATTTTCGAAAATACATCGAAAAATCTCTTACTCGAATCTCGTTTGAGGCAAAATGCTCGTGCTTGATCATGTCAGTGCCAGTTTTGTCCAAAGTGATGATCGTCTTCGAATGGGCTTGCACCTCGGCTTTGAACGCTTCATGCTTTTGAATCTTTGCCTGAAATTTTGTTAAGATTTATTTTAACTTGCACTTTTCGAATTTCTAAGTAAAGATCATTTAGCTGTTTCTCCAGTCAAGCTAGGTGTGACATTCTTTCATCTAGATTTTGTATTTGTTTGATGGATCAACTCTTGTAGCTTTTAAAACAATAGTTTTTAAGCTTAGTATAAGAAACACTATTTTACGCTTTTCTTCAGTTTAGCAAAAGAATTTGAGAGAAAAGGGAGCTTTCGAGTAATTATTTGGATTGGATCCATTCCTTCCTCCCAAATTGAGCTCCAGATGGGTCCCGGGAACAAAAACCTAATAAAATACCCCAGTTTTTCTTTGTTATATAATTTTAAAAGACTCATAGTTTCAAGGTTTTACAGATCTCAATTTTATTGTCGTTTTATTGTATAACTTTTTGGAAATAAATGCTAAATACCTTTCTCCGAAATGTTGAAGTGAAAAGATTTAGACAAAAAGAACTTCGAGAGTGTTTAAGATGGGATCAAATTACGCAAAGTGTTCAGGGGAAAGAGCTTTACGGCTGGTTGAAGGCTGGTTTAGAGTCTTGAATTGTCTCTCAACAACTAGATCTGTAGTTTTTAATTTATCTGATCTGTTAGATCAAGTACAGCTAACCAAATACTGCCCTAGGTGTACTTTGAATTCAAAATTGGGAGCACTTCTTTTCTGGCGCACTTATGATTTTCTAGAGATAGTTGTTGTATAAAGAAACGCCAGAAAAGGTGTTTTTCTACTTTTAGAGCACAAAGAATTCTTCTTTTATCAATTTTAATCAAAATTTTCTATCACTATTGTCCATATAATGAAGAAAGAATGTTCGGAACGAGATCGATGACCTTGTTCTCGAATTTCCCGATGAGGAAATGAATGGATCACCCGAAAAGATGGATCAAGATATGGCTTTGATATGGAATAAAGAACGGAAAAGAATATGAAAGAAAGTATTTTTATGGAAAAATTATATAAAATTTCCTTTTACCTTATGTAAAATCTGTTCACAAATGAAGTTCCACTTACTTGAAGATTTGTCGGATCTCGGAAGCTCTCCTCTTGTGCTGTTTGCAATTTCTCGATAATCCACACCTCCAATTCGTCGGCATCTCTGAAATACAAGTTAAGTCTCGAGAATTCACTTAGTAATTTCAAAGTATAAGTATAAATCTTTTATTTTAAAGTATAAAATATATATTACCTCTTGAAGTATTGATATTGTCGTGCTTCTTCGAGACGATCCCTTTTGCTTTTTGAGTAATCTTTGAATTGCGTGTAGTGAGAAAGCACTTCGGTACGACGGTGCTGGAAATGTACTTTTAAATTCAGTTAACTTATTAATTTACAATCAGAATCAGTTTCGGATATTTAGATACTTAGCTATTTTCGGATATTTAGATACTATTTATTGTTAGATTAAGTAAGGGCTTAGCTAAGCTTAGCTTTACAAGAACAATGACTACCTTAAGTTTATCAGAAGTGGCTGCATTGTTTAACTACTAGTGTAATAATGGTTATTTTGTTACTTACCGTATTTCTTCGAATAGAAGACCGGGTAAAGAGTATGATCGCGTACTCCTGCGTAGCAGCCCTTTTTAAAATTTCTTTTCTGCATAAAAGCTTTCAATGAAGTGCTACAGGGCTGGAAAATGGCTCAATAATCTGTTGGCTCATGTGGTATTTTTGAGTCATTTTCCAGCCCTATAGCACTTCATTGAAAGCTTTTATGCAGAAAAGAAATTTTAAAAAGGGCTGCTACGCAGGAGTACGCGATCATACCTTTACCCGGTCTTCTATTCGAAGAAATACGGTAACTATTGTTTCTATCCCTCAATTACCTGGATATCATCAGCCGTCTCGAGCACTTGGATCTCTGTGGGAAGTGGCACCTCCAACACAGGCTCGGGTGGTCCTCCGTCGCTCATTTTCAATCGTTATTTTGCGAGTCTTCTTTCAGATAAATAAGGTCCAACGACCCTGAAATTTCCCTATAAGTAACTCCAGAAAAGAAACAAAAAGTTTCGGTAAAGTTGAATCAATCGATAAATAGATGAGTCAACTGGAGTAGCCGGAATAGGACAATTGTACAGAAGTAAGAAAAGTAAACAAACAAGTTGCAATAATTGTTTCCAAATGTTTGCAGATGTTTTACATTCTAAGCTTAAGTTTATGTCATGGTAGGAAATTTTAGCCTTTCAAGGGCCTGGAAAAAGACCAAGCAGTCAAACCGAACAGTGAAAAAGCCTAGCTAGTGACACCTCTCTTTAACCATTCTAAATCAGTCAAGAGGAACTAGACTTCAAAGATTGGAACTTAAAGAGAGAAAAGCTAGAAGAGTGTACATAAGGGGATGTACAGCAGGGAATGGAGGAAGGGTTGGAGAGGTTCGGAGAGGGAAACGGGGAAAGAGCTCTCTCCGCCGCATATCGACCGAGCCTCGGCCCCGATTGGGGAAAAGAAAGAGTGAAAGATTGATGGAGTGGGCAGAGAAAAACTCGGCTAGAGACCAAAAAGAGGAGGGCTTTGGGGAAACCGATCGATGGAGAGAAGGGAGAAGAGGAGAGGGAATAAACAGCCTCTAGGGAATGGTGAGTCAAAGGCGGGAAAGGGCAAAGGGTGAAGGACAAGTGGGAAGATGGTGGAGGAAGGGAAGGACATGAATGAGGAGAGGAAGGCAAGGATTGCAGGGATGATACGGAAATGATTGATGGTTGAATTGTTGCAGTAATTCTACAGGAATAGCTGCTACATGTAGTAAGTTGTAATGATTTATTCCAGAGTAAAGCACTTTTTATGTGTAAGACTTGTAATCTAGAAGATAGAACAAGTTCAGGACAGCCAGCTGATCAAGCAAATTTGATCTTATCTTAAGCCTGAACCCAATTTTGTAAGCAAATTCATCCTGTGATCTTATAAGCTGTTTTACGTCAACCTTAGCTTCAAGAGCTTCAAGCTTCAAGAGCTTCAAGCTTCAAGAGCTTCAAGCTTCAAGAGCTACAAGCTTCAAGAGCTTCAAGAGCTTCAAGCTTCTCAGGCTACAATGATTAATTCTTATTGGCAAGTAAACTCAAATTAGATTTTTTGATTTAGAAACCAGAATCAAAGTAAAATACACAATCAGATAGCCAGAAAAGCATAGAGAAAGATAAGAGATGTTTTAAGGAAAGAATTGAAGACCCCGAGAGACCCAAGACCCCGTCTTTCAATTGGAAACCCTTTCATGCATTCCCACTCCACTCCACAAAAAAAAAGCTTTAAGGCAAAAGAGACGACTTTCTTGAAAGGACAAGTCTTTAGTCGACTCTTTTCTATACAACAAATACATCGACTTATCGTGGGTGAAGAATTGGGGGACAATGAATGTCATAATAGACTATTTGATCAAAATGGTTGAACAGCAGAACGGTTTGTTGACAATAAAATATGTATCATATGGATTAGATCTAGTGCAATAAATAGTGCAAATAATAGAGTTGCTTATGAGGTTTTAATCAAAAAGCTTTTTCCGGAGATTTAAGAATTTTGAGTCGAATCAATTTTAGAATTAAGATCAACAGAAAATGAAGCTTGAAACTGAAACTTTTAACAATAAAAACTGCAACTCTTTTCAACTTTCAGGGAAATCTTTGTAAACAAAATGGATAGTTTCCTTTTCTTTAGAGGAAAAATGAGTTGGCATCATTTTTTGGATAGAAAAAAGCTTGGAATGCAAATAGAAAACAGAAAAAAGTTTGGGTGGAGGCCTTATCTTTTTCCACGACAAAAAATGCACCAAACGACTCTGATAGAATCGGAGAGTGGGTGAGAATCAAAAAAAATATTTACTGCTTTCTAGAAGGAAACATGGGTTTTTACAGTAATTAATCGGAAAAATCGATTTTGTACTGAGATAATGGTTTTATGCTTTTATTTTGAACAAATAACTTCAACCGTGCTTATTTTACAAATTATTATTAGATTGTTCAAGAAGTACTGAAAAAAGTTGGAGAAGATGAGATAAAAGTTTGTTCAATCGTCATTTACAATCAGAAAGTACTGTTTTGCTGGGAATTTTAGCAAAAAATTCACAATGAGATTCTTGGGATTGTCAAGATTGATGTTTTAAATAAAAAGAAAAAATTTCTGACGAGAGTGGGATTCGAACCCACGCCTCCGAAGAGACCAGTGCCTTAAACTGGCGCCTTAGACCGCTCGGCCATCTCGCCATATTTTGGTGAGAGAAAATTTTCGTGAAATAGTTGCAACTGTCATTCAACTTGCCTGCACTCACAACATGTCAAGAATGGCCTTTTTTTGAGGTCAAATTGGTAAAAATAGTTTCTGATTGTAAATGACGATTGAACAAACTTTTATCTTCTCCAACTTTAAAAAGTTTTTATAAACTTTAAACTACTAGGTAAATGACTTACTATTGGGTTTGTAAGTATGAAATTTCGCTATTTGTCACTCTCTAATTAATCGATTGACTTACGGTTTGTTTCTATCAAAAAGCTCTATGAATTCTTGACAAAATTGCTTTTTAGAGTTTCTGAAAAGCTTTTGTTTTTTGGGATTTGCGAGTAGCAAAGTAGTCAAAAAGTCAAAAATAATAAATTCAAGATCATACGATTTGAACACTTTCGTCCACAGAACCCTATTTTGATGTTAAGAGAAAAAGATAGGGCATAAAAAATTAGATATATTGCCAAATTTTCAGATCAATCTGTTCAACCTATTTTCTTGTATGTTAACTTTATGAATTTCCAAAAAAATGGGGATTTTTTTCCTCAAGATTACTTCGAAACAGGCTCAAATATACTTAAATAAACAAGATGTAAACGATAAACATTTCTAATAAAGCAAACCGTAAGTCAATCGGTGAATTTTGGAGTTTTAAACAGAACATTTCAAACAATGAATTGAATTGGAGCATTCAAAATTAAAACTGAATCGATATCTCTTTTGGCAAATTTGTCAAAATTAACAGAGATTCGGTTATGCTATTTTATCCCTTTCTTCTACAGAAACCTATTTTGGTATAAATAGAAAAAGATAGAGCATAAAAAGTTAAAAGTATAGCTAAATTTTTAGAAGAATTTATCGCATCCTTTTCTTTATCTTTCTCATCTAAGAATTTCAGATAAATGAGAATTTACTTGCGATACACGATAACGATAAACATTTCTAATAAAGCAAACCGTAAATCAATCGGTGAATTTTCGGAGTTTTAAACAGAACATTTCATACTTACAAACCTAATAATTCACTTTTTACAAACAATGAACTGAATTGTAGCATTCAAAATTAAAACTGAATTTTGGAATATCTATTTTGGCAAATTTTTCAGCTTTGTCGACCCACTCATTGTTTATGCAGGCGTTGAAAACGGGGATTTTAGAGAAGTGAAAAAAAACTGGAAAAATTTACGCCATTGAACCCCCAAAAATAATCTGACGGCTTTTGAAAAAGCAAAATGCTTGAGTTAAAGGTTTTTAGCTGAATATTTTGTGCAACTCTTTTTGGATCCAGATATCGATTCCGCGAATGCGCATTGTGTGCACTCAAGTGGATATTACGGACAAGAGGAAAGAGGGATCGGTGATCGGGATATGAAAGTGACAGACGTACACATAGCCAGGATTATTTGCTCTCACTCACGATAATATAAAGATGAACCGGGTACTTTTGTACGAATTTTTCGAATATTTTTATTGTCTTCCCGCCTTTTACTCATTCTAGCAGACCCGGAATCTTTCTCTCATCCAAAAAATGACGGAACGGAAGCACCGCGGACTCAAATAGTCTCTAGATTCGGCGAATGATCTAGAGCAAATCTTGAAATGGAGCCAAGATCCACAAAGGATTCAATGTCAGATATCTAGAGAAAAAGTAATAGGAATCCTTGAAATAGATCATCTAACTCAAAAAGAGTGTTCTATTCAATTTATAAGAGTAATACAATATGAGTAGGGTTATTTGCTAAACAAGTAAGGCTTTTAAGGTAAACCAAGCTAGTTCCTTAGTCAAATCAAGTCAATTAATCAAAATAAAGCAATAAAAGTACAGTCAGATTACATTGTAAAGTAGTATCAACACACAAAGATTCAACACAAAGATTATAGCAATGCATAATGCAAAAAAACAGTGCAATAAACCAAAATCTATAGGTCTAGCTTCTAGACAATTAGAGAAAAGAATTTGATTTAATATTTGCAATATTACAATTAAAGAGATCTAAAGACTATTCCCTTCGAGCAGATCCTCTATTCCGCACCCGTTCCACCGTAGATTCCCGTTGGCATTTTGCCATCAGCATTGCACCCAATGAGCACTCGCCCCCTTAAGTTTTTCGTTGATTTCCCCTTTTCTCGACAAAACGCTTACCGTAAATACTCTAATAGAACGCCACCTCATCGTACAATCGCGTAGTCTAACTTCTTTTTAGAAAATCTTTAGAAAATCATCCTTTCTCAGCTCCTAGATTTTCCCCAACTACACTTTTCATACCAAAAAATACTAGGTTTCAAAAGCTATCATTTGACGCCCAAGCGCACACTGTAGCATGAAGCAGCGCGGAGAACGGGAGGTTCAAAGTTAGACTACGTTACTGTACGCCTATTATGGGAATGGCGTTCTATTAGAGTATTTACGGTAATTTATTCATCGATTTTCAGCCAAATGGAGAGCTATGGTTTCAATTCGAATTCGAATTCGTTGTACGAGCGAAAGGTTTTATTTTGAACAAATAACTTTAACCGTGTTTATTTTACAAATTATTATTAGATTTTCCCATAAGAGCCCAGAGTTTTTGAATTTCATTGGTTTTCAACACAAAGAAACAACGAAGGATTAGAAGCAAATTATATATTTCCCAGATGAATTTATAAATTTTCTCTAGCTTTTGGGTAGCTTGCCAATCTCGTTCCTAAAACCCAAGCGGGCGCAAGCGAAAATAGTCGTTCAATCTGTTCTCGAGTTCGCTCACATTTTTGAACTTTTTACCACGTAGGAAATCCTTTAGCGACAAGAACAAGTAGTAGCCAGAAGGGACAATGTCAAGAGAATATAGTGCATGAGGAAGGATATTCCAGTGTAGGTTCTTCTTCACAAAATCGATCGATCTTTCTGATTTGTGGAAGCTTGCACCATCCTAAAGAACGAAAACGGAGCCGTTCTATTTGTTTCCATAAAGCAACCTCCCAACGTTTTATTCCACTTTTTGCATATGACGTAGATAAACATTGGTGTTAAAATTTTGCCTCGGTTTGAGAAGTTCCCAGAAAAGAACGCCTGTCGAACACCGGTAGGCACACAACATTTGCTTCTTTCCGTGGATGTTCCGTTTTGGCACCGTTTTCCCTACTTGACCTTTCTTCAGATACTGCCGTTGTAACACTTGACCATCATAGAAAACCCACGTTTGATCGTGAGTGATGATGTTCGAAAGAGGAAACTGACCATGCCGGTATTCACTCCACAAATGGTTGCATGTCCGCTTTCTTTTGACTTGGATTGTTTCCGATATTTTGTATGGGATTTGGCGTTGTTCTCTCCAATTTCTTCCCACTTTTCGCTGCCATCGCCACACAATCATTGGTCCACAGTAACGTCCAGTCAATTTCCGGGTTGATCCATCGGGGTTTCGCTGGAGACGGTGCCTCAGAAGCGATCGATCCATTTTCCGGGGGTCGGTCGCTTCCCCTCTTCCGTTTGATCCTCTTGTTGCCGTCTGGAATCTGTGAAACCATTCCTGTGCAGTAATCGTTCCCACGATTCTGTTGCCATAATATTGATTGATTTCTCGTGCTGCTTTGGCCGCTGAAATCTCTCTTGCAAATCGTTGGAGCAGTTGGGCGTGAATTTCTTCTCGAGTTGGCTTCATTCGATCGACTACAACTCTCTTTTCGTGTCGGTCCCTAAAAAATGAATGTTAATGCAAGAAAGAAGAAAATTTTAGCATGAAAAAGAAAAAAAGATAAATACAAAACGTGTTGTGAGCGAGTACTGATCAAAACAAAAATCTCTGAGTTTTTATGGGACAAGTTTCATAGCTTATTTTTTACTTTTCCAGATCACAACGAGAAATAACATGCGACCGAGCCTGACGAGCAATCGACAATACGCTGTGGTCCCGTTGAGGACCAGCTTGCAAGCGGTGAAAGAAGAGGTTTGGTTTATGAATAAAGAAACGGTACAGCACAAAAAGGCTAGAGTCGTGACTTTAGCATTTTGCATATCTGTATAATTTTCAAACCCATGTTCTGGCAAAGTTGTATATTAGTACAACTTTGCCAGAATTATTTGTGATTTCCAATTTCATATGTGTAAATCAGTTGTGTTTTGCAAATTCATTGGAAGAACCAAAATGACATTGCAAACTTTACAATATTTGTTTAGATTTCTCAAGAGCATACCTATGCAAAGCCGAATGAGGTCCCGAATGGCTACATTGAAGAAGAAATCGTTGAAGACTACCAAGAAGAGTACCATGATGTGAGTAACTTGTCTTTAAGTTTTTAAACAATCGACTTTTAGGCTCCTTCCACCTCAGCACAAATTGACGTTGGATCGAATAAGGTTTGAGTTTTATCGCACAGTTTTTCAATTTCAAAAATCTAGAATTTTCATCCACTCAACGGGAATCGCGTTCAGGGGAAACGCACCGTGAAAGCCCCAATGAGATTCACTGAAAATGACAACAAACAAGGAGAGTTGAAAGTGCATAAAATTGGGGCGATCAAGGAAGAAAAGAATGAGGTCAGTATTTTTAAAAAAATGCTGGATATTTTGCCACAATATTCAATGTGAATTTAAGATTTATTACGCCTTGATTTTATCCATCATCTTTGCAGTTACATATAGCCAATAAAGCCAACTTTAGACCTCTTCTTCAAGCCCGGGTTCTTCGGATAGCAGCGAGTATGAGGAGGACTCCGACTCCGATACTGGAGAGGTTTGTAAAAGTTTCGATGATGTTATAGTTTTTAAAAATTTAGAAATAGCTTTAAAAACTGAATAAAGTCTAAATATTCAGCCTCGTCGTCGATTGAAAAAGCGCAACTTCCAGCGGCAAAATTTCTCCGAGGAAGAAGAGGAGGTAGATTTAAAGCTGTAAAACTTATAAAGATTTAAAATGCTATAATTAGTCGAAAACTAGTGCTTATCTATATAATCAACAATGTTCAGGATGAGCCTATTGAAGTGCAAGGAATCGAAGAGGAGGGGTCAAAAGGGAAGAAACGAAACCACTTCCATCACAATTTTCAGCATCAACTCTTAACTTGTGCTGTGAGTTTTAAGCTTTTAATGGCAGTTAGGTATAGTAATTTGTACTCAAAGTATGAACACAGGCTTTGGCACACCATGTTACAAAGCTAGTAGTTTTATGCAAAGCAAAAAGTGTTCAGTTAAATTGTACAAATCTTTAGTATCCCGTTACAATTTTAGCTTATTTTTCTAGGTGTGTGACCGAAAAGTGGTGATGCGATCGAACGCCCGGACAAGCAAGATCACCAATGCGCTCACTCACGCAAAGATGCACTTGACAAAGCGACAATTCGAGTGTTCAGTCTGCAGATATCAATCGAACACTCATATCCAACGACATGTGCAATCGATTCATGGAGGACGCGCGAAAATCATCGACAAAATGTGAGTTGAGTTCAAAGTTCGAATTGTTTTTGATCCATAAATACTCTAATAGAAGCTCTGTCGCGTAGTCTAAGTTTACTCTTAAACAAACGCTCATATCTCGACACCAACACGTTTGTTTCTGCGCGCTTTGGTATCAAATTAAAGTAGAGAAGATGCGTGATTTTTTGAGGTATAACACATATTTTTAACTTTAACCAGCGCTTAGAACAAACTGATTGAAAAATGAGGAAAAATCGGTTTTTTTTGCCACTTTTCAATAATTTTTTCTAAGTGTTGATTAATGCTAAAAATATGTGTTAAATATCAAAAAATCACCCATCCTCTCTACTTTAATTTGATCTCTATGCGCGCAGAAACAAACGTAGTAGTGACGAGATATGAGCGTTTTTTTGAGAGTAAACTGTCTTGGTATCCCTTGCTCATTATTTTTTTTATTAGCGAGTTTTCTCCAAACAAACGTTGAATCGCTAAAAATAAAAAGTGTTAAGTATTTCATTTTAGGTATTTTAAAACAAAATTGGGCTAATATGATGCAAATTGCCTAAGTAAATTCTCATTTATCTGAAATTCTTAGAAGAGAAAGATAAAGAAAACGATGCGATGAATTTTTCTAAAAATTTAGCTATACTTCCAACTTTTTATGCTCTACCTTTTTCTATTTATACCAAAATAGGTTTCTGTAGAAGAAAGGGATAAAATAGCATAGCCGGATCTCTGTTAATTTTGACAAATCGTCTTTTGAAATTTCTCAAAACAAGCGCTTTTTTTAAAACAATTAAAGCATTTTGTAGAAAAAAGATAGGGCTTTTCTATAAAAAACCGTTTATATTTTGGTCGATTCACCATTTCTAAAACAGTCAATGAAGATAGCATACCAAATCCAATATTTAGTTTTTTAAACTATTTCCAGGAACGATGAGCTGCGAAAGCTTTACCGCGACATGACGATTCGATGCTTTCCCCATCTCTACAAAGAGATTCACTCTTGGTACAGGTTGGTGTTGAAAAAAAAACTCCCAATTTAGTTCAAAGATTTAAAAAATCTCGACTTTTCAGACAATCTTCTGATCAAACGCGTGCTGGTGGCCGAAAATCGAGGAACATGATTAAATTGGAGAAAGAAGATGATTGTGAGATTGAGTGCTGAACTTATGCATGTTAATATGTAAATTTTTAACTAGCTTTACGATGTTATTTTGGAAATAAAATAATATGAAATGAATGCACGACTCGCAAAGTACTCGGCTTACAATCAGCCACTTCATCGGCAAAAACGTCAACAAACTTGATGCTTTCTTGTAATCGAAATAGAGCATCGTCATTGGGTCATTTAAACGAGTTTTGGTGATATGTTAAAGTTCATATATCAGCAACTAATGCTTTTAGTAGGTATTCCTACCGTAAATACTCTAATAGAACGCTACCTCTCATACGTCGCATATTCTAAGTTCTTTTTGGGAAGTCATTTTTTCTCAGCTCCTAGATTTTTCCCAACTACACTTTTGATACCAAAAAATACTAGATTTCAAGGGCGATCATTTGACGCCCAAGCGCAAACTGTATCATAAAGCAGCGCGGAGAATGGGACGTTCAAAGTTAGACTACGTTACTGTACGCCTATTATGGGAATGGCATCCTATTAGAGTATTTACGATCACATTCTAGAACGCTCACCTTTATCAAGTTTTGTGGATTGGAAGAAAATACCCTCAAACTTTTTTAGAAATGATTTAGTGTTGATTTTAGCCAAAAATTGTGAGTTTCCCAAGCAATGGTCGCTTGGGCCTTTATTTGGCTCGCCGTACGGTCTTTGACAAGTCTTAATGATAAATTTTTTTAATTATTATTTCTTTAGTTTAATAATAAGTTTATTTGTGGCCCTAAAGAGGGCCGTTGGGTTTGGGCTTTTTTGGTGTTCAGTGAGACACACTTAAGCACGCTCTCCACGGATGCGGCGGGCGAGTTGGATGTCCTTTGGCATGATGGTGACACGCTTGGCGTGGATGGCACAGAGGTTGGTGTCCTCGAAGAGACCGACGAGGTAGGCCTCTGCAGACTCCTGAAGAGCCATCACAGCGGACGATTGGAAGCGGAGGTCGGTCTTGAAGTCTTGAGCGATCTCACGGACAAGTCGCTGGAAGGGCAACTTGCGGATGAGAAGCTCGGTGGACTTCTGGTACCGACGGATCTCACGGAGAGCCACAGTTCCTGGACGGTAACGATGGGGCTTCTTGACTCCTCCGGTGGCTGGGGCCGATTTGCGGGCAGCCTTGGTGGCCAATTGTTTGCGGGGAGCCTTTCCTCCAGTCGATTTGCGAGCAGTTTGCTTGGTGCGAGCCATTTCCGAGTCAGATGCGATGCACTGATGGTTTTGAGAGGGACGGAGGAGTTCTTATAAGGGGTGAGGGGCGGGGCGGGACAAAGAAAATGAGTAGAATTGGAACCAGAAATTGTCTCGTGAAGTGGATGGGCGGGGTTTTTTGACCCAACTCCGGCGCCTCTCTTTGATCCCCGGCATCCCAACTAGAGCCTAAGTCTTTCCCCCCTATAAATACCCCTTCCAATCCAGCGATTCTCCATCTCATCACTGAGCAACTTAGCAATGTCTGGACGTGGAAAGGGAGGCAAAGGGCTCGGCAAGGGAGGCGCCAAGCGTCATCGCAAAGTTCTCCGCGACAACATCCAAGGAATCACCAAGCCGGCTATCCGCCGTTTGGCCCGTCGTGGTGGTGTGAAGCGTATCTCTGGATTGATCTACGAGGAGACTCGTGGAGTTCTCAAGGTTTTCTTGGAGAATGTGATCCGTGATGCTGTCACCTATTGTGAGCACGCCAAGAGAAAGACTGTCACCGCCATGGATGTCGTCTATGCCTTGAAGCGTCAAGGACGTACCTTGTACGGATTCGGTGGATAAGAACCCACGAGAAGCAATCCTCAAAACAAAACCCCAACCCAACGGCCCTCTTTAGGGCCACAAATGAACCGAACCAATAAAAATATTTGTGTCTCAATAAAGATTTGTTTTCTCAGAAAGTCATAAATGCAGCTAACCCCAAAAGTTTCCAGAGCAAACGCATACAAAACCAACGAAGTTTCCAATAAAAAATATCTCAATTGTGAATCTTTTCAAATAATAAACTGAAACTCAAAGACTCAAATCATTTTTTTGAGTTTTGAATGCTTTTTTGTTCTTATCCTATCCTAGAAATGACACTTCTATCACTTGTCTGCATTTTGTATCGATGTTTCTAACATTTTGATTGGCAAGAAAGCATTTTCTATAAACTTGTCAAACTCAAACTGACTACAAGTCAAACTTGTAGATAATTTTTTTTGTTTTATCCTCCCTAGCAGGGCTATGCTAGAAATGGCTAGCGAAATCAAAGACAAGTCTGACTTGTTTTTGTCTGGCTGGAAAAATGGCTTACGAACAGCTTTGCTCTCTAGAATTCTCGGACGTGATTTGATTCCTTGTCTGCATTCTTAATCGATTATAACCCGATGTGCCCCCAATTTTTTGACCCGACATTGAAAACCAAGCCATGGGCATTACTCCAAGCGTTTTGGCGCCAAATTTTTCCAAAAATCAAGAACTAGAGATTGCAGAAATAAGGGAGAAAGACGAGATTTAGTCAACGAGAACCTGAACCCTGCTGGGATGCCGAAAAGGATTAACCCTTGAGGTTACCAAGCGATGTAAAGGCGATTGCTCGCTTGATGAGTTGCATTACTCGGGGTGCTCTTTTGTTTTTTGCCCTAGATAACTTCAAAAGATTTAAATTTCAGCCATTGGCATTGTACCAGGCATTTTGGCGTAAAATTTCCCTTTAAAATGAGGTCAATGAAGAGATTGGAGAAGAATGAGAGAATCAGTCGATGAGAGGCCGGGCCAGGTTGGGATGCCGATAAGGAGAAAATTTAGAAGATTCGAGATTTCCATCAATTTTACAAGAAAATGGAAATGTTTATTAGCTTGCTCAGAGTTGAGGTAACTGGATAACTGTGTTCTAAGATGATTTGGTAAATCAGGCTTGCGTTCGCTGTGGCAAGTTAGGGCAAAGTTTGGCTGTGCATTAGTGTCTTTGATGAATTGCTTTGGACTGCTTTCACGAGTTGTTTTAAACAAAAAAAACTTTATTGAATGCCATAATACACAAAAGATTGATCTCATGCAAAGTTAGTTATTTTTTCAGATCAAATTATAGTTATAAATTCAAATCTTTTTGTTCATTTGTGGCCCTAAAGAGGGCCGTTGGGTTGGGTGTTTTTGGTATTCTTTCAATCTCAAGGAGATTTATTTGGATGAGGTGTACTTGGTGACGGCCTTGGTACCCTCAGAGACGGCGTGCTTGGCGAGCTCTCCGGGCAAGATGAGACGGACAGCGGTCTGGATTTCACGGGATGAAATCGTGGACCGTTTGTTGTAGTGAGCGAGACGAGAAGCCTCAGCACCGATGCGCTCAAAGACGTCGTTCACGAACGAGTTCATGATTGACATGGCTTTTGAGGAGACACCAGTGTCGGGGTGGACCTGCTTGAGGACACGGTAGATGTAGACCGAGTAGGATTCCTTTCTCGACTTTCTTCTCTTCTTGTCCCCAGAACGAGGGGTCTTCTGGGTCTTGGCGGCCTTCTTGGCTCCTTTGGCGGATGGCTTTGGTGGCATGTCGAAGTTGAGAGTTGGCTTGGGTTGTCGAACACAAGATGAAGGTTGGGGTTTGGAGGGGTTCTTTTATGAGGGATCGGGTGGAGGGGTGGGGTCTAAAATGATGCCAGGGCCGCCCCAATTTTCTCTACAATTTCCCTCTTTCCCTTCTCCCACTTGGAATCCCGCCCTTCCATCTCACAAAACCCCGCCCATTCACTCCAAGACCTTCATAAACCCTTCAATTCCCCCACAAATCTATCGACAGTTCTCAGTCGCCAATTCTCTTCAACTCTCTCAACAATGTCTGGACGTGGTAAAGGAGGCAAAGCCAAGACCGGAGGCAAGGCGAAATCCCGCTCGGTTCGTGCTGGACTTCAATTCCCCGTTGGTCGCCTTCACCGTCTCCTCCGCAAGGGCCACTATGCTCAACGTGTCGGAGCTGGAGCCCCAGTGTACCTTGCCGCCGTGCTCGAATACCTCGCTGCTGAGGTGTTGGAGTTGGCCGGTAATGCCGCTCGTGACAACAAGAAGACCAGAATCAACCCCCGCCATCTCCAATTGGCCGTCAGAAATGACGAGGAGTTGAACAAATTGTTGTCCGGAGTCACCATCGCTCAAGGAGGAGTCCTTCCAAACATCCAAGCCGTTCTTCTCCCAAAGAAGACCGCCGGAGACAAGGAATAAGCTCTGGATCAGCTGTTGAATGAACAACAAAAACCCCAAACCCAACGGCCCTCTTTAGGGCCACAAATGAAAATAAACTATAAATATTTGGTTTTAAATATAAATAAATAGTTTACATCTCGAGTTGAATACTTCAAAGTACACCTTAAAAAAAGAGGATCTAAATGCACTGAAATGCTAAGATGATGTGAAGTAGTGTTTTTCTGTTGTTTGAAACTGTGCACCGATCGGTGTGCTAGTTTTCAATGGTATATACAATGTATAAAATCGTATCAATTCTTTAGAAGTTATAAAGTGGAGGGTTAAAATTTCGGGTCCACTTATGCTCAATTGATTCTTTTTGGCATCCCAACCGGGTTCAAACTCTCGTTGACTGATTCTCTCATTCCCCAATGTCTCTCATGAAACTCGTTTTGTTTTTTAAGGTTTTTGTAGAAGCCTAGAAAATGCCAATGAGGTTGATTTAAATGTTTAATGCATTTAACTAGGTTGAGAAAAAATTGGTTTAGCTAACGGCAATGCTTATAGACTAGGGATAAAAGAAATCCTATTTTTATGGATAAAACTTATAGACTCTAAATTTTAGATTCATAAAATCATTAGTTTTATTTAGATAAACAATCAAAACAAATCCGCAAGTTTAACTTTGTTTCAAAACTCAAAAGTCAATAGTTTAACTCGAGGTTTTGTGCTAGATATTGTTTAAATGATGCAAATACCCGGCCTTCTGAATTGTTGAGCTTTAAACTAAAATTTGATTCTAAGAATGTGAGCTTTGTAATTTCATGATAAATTTTCAATTCTCACCTCAA